TAGCATTTTTTTAGCCATTTTTGGTTCATTAACTATTTGTAATGTTCGATTAAGAGTTGTTTATTCAACAATGGAATTAACTAATTCAAATAACACAAACAATAACAGACTATTGCTGCGAAATAGTGATCGCAATCTCACTCGAATGTTATTAGTTCAGGTAAATGTCACGTTTTTGTTTTTAATCTTTATTTACAATCGTTCTGTAATGTTCAAAATGTATACCAGTTGATTGCTGACTATTTTATCTCTTGAATCCTGTGACTAATACTCAGTCAATGTTAAGAGTAAAAAAAACAAGATCTTCTTGATACTTGTCAGTACCTACTAATGAAACTGCTTTTATAGTTAGCCAATCTTGAACATATTTTAATCGAAGATTGATTATGAAAATATTGCTGAATGATTTTTTTTTAGGCATCGTTTGTTCTTCTTCTGGATTTACCATCTGGAATTTATCGTCCGTATGCCAGTCTAACATCGGATCTTCCTAAAAGTAGATATCGTATGGCTGTCGAAAACTTGTTATATTCTTTGATTGTACTGCTTGTCTGTGTCACACATTCAACTCCTTTTTATTTGTGCACACTCACTGGTTCAGTATATCGTGTAGCACTTTAACGTATTGTATCTCGTTGTTTCAAAAGTATTCGACCAAGAAGTTAATATCCAACAAACATATGAACTAGGTTTTCATTCTTATTAAACTTTTTCTGTCTCTCCATTGTCTTCTTTCTTCAATTATTCAAGCTTGTCTCTTATTATTGCTTGTGAGTCTTCTTTGGTCAAATCTTATTTATTTCTTATCTGTTTCATAATCCCTATCACTTTAAATAAAAATCTCTTCATGAATTTGTGAATTCAAAACAGGTGAAATGAAAGTGAATACAAAAATCATCTGAAAGAATAATTAATCTAATGAACAATTATTCAATATTACACTATTGTACCTCCTTCGATTTGTCTATTATCATAAATGAACCTGAACAAGATTCCAAAGCAAACGCCGATGTGAAACAAAGGTCATCATTTTGACGTATTTTCTTGCTCGGATGCATGCAGATGAGCATGCTATGAGAACTATTATTCATTCAATCATTCGTAAATACAGTGAGCTGTTCTGTAGTAATAATATATACAGTATCTAGTCAGATTGGTCTTGTAGTTAGAGAGTACTGAGTGAATAGTTTTTACTACCATTGCATAAATCACAGAGATATACAACGAAAACTAGTTCCAAAAATGGGTGGGTGTGGGTGTGGGTGGCTGGATGGCTAGGGTGTGGGTGTGAATATGGTTGTGTATCTTTTCCAAGCAAACACTCACACCCACACCAACACCCCATCCACACCCACACCCACACCCTCGTTCATGTACCATTCGATAGAGGACTCTTGAATGTCTTTATAGATACAAAAAAATCGAAATCGGAAAAAGTAAATTTTCGAGGTCGGGAAAGGGACGAAGTGCTCTTAAATGTGCTTTTTTTGGATTTTTGTGAGTAACGATGAATGTAAGTTGGAAAATTCCAACCTCATTTTTTTTGAATCGGCACTTCAGATTTGACACATAGTTTCATTTCATTCATTAATATCGATTCGATTTTGCCGAAAAATACATTCATCCTATTGTCATTTTTACAATTACATCGAGTTGAACATGTCATTTAGTCACAAAACCATCATTTGAATCTTTTTTCGGATTTCTTTTTCGCTTTCATCATTTTTTTTCGTACTCCCTTCGTTACATGTTATTTTTTCCATTTCTTCCAAGTAAAAGCGAACGAATAATAAACACATTTCTCATGCATCATACATATATGTAATACTTGAAACTTGAATTCCAGTATTCAAGTATTCAAGTATTCAACTATTCAAGTATTCAACTACTCAAGTATTCAAGTATTCAACTATTCAACTATTCAAGTATCCAACTATTCAAGTATCCAACTATTCAACTATTCAAGTATTCAAGTATTCAAATTTTAACTTCTCAAGTGTTCTGTGAATATTCAGAAAGGAAGCGCGCTCGCCACCTAATACACCTTTTATTTCAGCATCGCGACTCATGTACGTCTCTGTGTACACCATTATTCCTACTCAGTACTGCACATTAGCTGAAGCTTCTCACATGTAGCATCCCAGATAATGTCTGCAGCATCTTTAACCCAAATCTGTAGTATCCTATAAAATGCTTGTAGCATGCTAGGGTATGCTTGTAGCATCGTAGATGATGCTTGTAGCATCGTAGATGATGCT